AGTGAGGAAATGAGAGGCAGCCTGACCCTTTTTCTCTGTTTGAAAGCACAACTTCGAACCCTGCTGGAGTGAGTAAAACCATCCTGATAAACCAAAGTGAGCTGTCCCAGAGTGCTTTAATCAGACCGAACATGGCTGCCTGCCACCTACTTCTCTCCATTCGACTCATCTGGTCGCCATCGTGGGCATATGGGCACCATATTGTGCCTGATAGTGGCGACTGGCGGCCTGTGGTTTCACCATGGTAAAGCGGCGGCTCTTGAAGTGTTGTGAATTCAGCGTTTTTTGCAAGTGTTTGTCTGCAGAAGTCCCCACGGGCTGCCTTCGCACCGCCGACACCCTCTAACGTACACAGATTGTGTAGTCAGCCTTAAACAGACGCAGATGCACTCGCAGCACATACATACACACTCTTTTATAAACCCAAATCGGCCGTGCGAGAGCCCTACATCTGCCTTAAATCATAACCGATCAGTCTCCCCAATCAACCATTTTTTGGCCGCGTCCAGAACGCTCCATTTCCTGACCCGGCTCCTCCTCGTCTCCCTCCTCGCTATTAGTCAAAGCCCTTTCTTTTTTTAACAATCCTTCCCCAAACACTGCTACTGCCAGGTTTGTCAGCCGGCGTAGATTTAGCTGCCTTGTCAGTAGCGCTGCTGTCCTAATCTCTATCACAGCCTCACAACTCTGGCCTCGAGGAATGATCAGAGAGAGAGAGAGAGGAGACGAAAAGAAGCAGATTTTGTGCCAGAATTGCTTTTTTTGTCCCCCAAATAAGCAAATGTGTAACGTGGCAAAGGCCCAGTGCAGACCTACCCGCGAGATGTTTATGACTAGAAAGCTGCAGCCTCCCCTCGGTCCTTTGAAACAGAAAGGGTTGGTGGGGGGAAGGTGGGTGGGTTAGAGAGGAGAGGCAGACTTGGCACAATGCTCCGTCTAGTGTTCTGAATTAGCGAGGGTCCCTTTCACCCCCACTCCCATCCCTCTCTGTACCTTCCCTCCTTTATTTTCTTTGTCTTTTTATCTTTTGATACACTTAGCGGATTGTCATGAAGTATTCTAATTTATGAAAGCTGCACTGTGCCGGCCTGTGATTTTAAAGATCACATCAGGACTGTGTTTTTTGGGGGTGGTAGTGGGAAAGTATTCAGGTCAGTAATGTGCTGCTTTAATTCCTCCAAAGACACAAACATGCTGAATAAAATTAGAGCACCTGTACATCACGGTTTCATGCAACAGGCAGAGGTGCAAACACTTTATTACATGTTTGCACCTCTGAGTGCTTAAGTGTTTTTTCAGTTATCCGTACTCTACTATATTAACTTATATACAACTTTGTACTTTTTTACAGCTTGTTTCTATGTTAAAGTTAAAAAACCACCAAAATCTACACAGTAGATGGTAAAAATGTGACTTAAGACTGGATAACAGCTAACAGACTGAGGCTAAAGCTAACAGGTCCCAGGTTATGATATCATGAGTTTGAACATTGTTGGAAACATTTGGGATAATGTAAAATTAACAACTCAACTCCATATAGAACATAGAGCAAGAGTTTATACACTGCTTAATGAATAGGCCTATAGATTATTGATTTAATAGGAGCGTTAAAGTGTTCAGGGACGTTGCTTAAAGGAGGTAAATTGGGGGATGTTGCACTGGGGACCCTTGACTTAATCCGGTCGTGCTTCATCACACAGGAAAACTACATGTACAGAAGTACGGAGGGTCAAAGTCGCTCTGCTGTTGGCTAATAACTTTTCTTTAAACTTATTTTCAGTGATTTCACCCTGCTCCCCAAAACTTAGTTTTAATTCAGAGCTTTTAACCATCTGATGAGCCGATATGTGACTGACGCATACAGTGGAAAAAGCTAGCAAGTGGCCCTTGAGTTAAGACATTTTTGTCAACTCAAGGTGTAATAAAGTAAAATTAAACTATTGCAGTGACTGTTTATTAGAAACGAAGTAATATGCAAAGTGTAAGTGAAGATAATTTATAAATCCTTTATGATACAATAACACGCTGCAGCTGATGATGTAGATGCAGACCACTCTGATAATTATTGTGTGTATGTGTGTGTGTGTGTTACTCTCTCTCTTTGGGTCTCTCTGTCTCTCTGCGTCTGTACACCCACTGCCTCGCCGCCGCAGATTAGGCCGCTTAGTGCTCACCACGGGGCGAGCTAATCACCACGGAAAGCGAGGGGTTGGGGAGGAGCAGGGGGGGTAAGAGAGAGAGAGAGAAGGAATGGGAGTGGTGTTCAACTGCCCCCCATCTCCCCCATCCAACCATCCGACCCCCTGCCAATCCCGCCCCCGTACTGCCCGCGGGGCACCGTCACGGTGACAGCGGTGTGACAGTAATCTTCCAGTGACACTTTTCTGTTTTTCCTCTCTTTGTTTTTCTATTTTTTTAATGGAGGGGGGTGAGTGAGGGGGCAATGTCAGCCCCCCCTCCCTTCCATACACAACAACAAGCCCCCCCCACACCCAACCCAGAGGTACCATGACACTTAGACGATTGCCCCCAGAGAAGGCAACAAACGCGGCGGCACAATGCCGAGCATTGGTGGCGCAGAGAGATGCCTCCCCTCCCTCGCCTCTAAAAATACTTCCACACAATGCTTCTGATAATAGGTTTATGCAATGATGCACCGGCGCATGGTAATGCATCCACCCCAACATCACCCACCGCCACCACTACCCCAACATCACCTACCGCCACCGAGGGGAAAAAGGGGGACCGGAGCACTGATTGATTTGCAGCCTTTTACAGTGAAAACAGACTCAACGCTAGCACGTCTTCATCAGAGTCTAAATGGACGAAGGCACGAAGCAAACGATGAGGACTCTGATGAGGAGACCAAACAAGCAGAAAGGAAAAGTGCATTTGTTGGGGACTATTTTCAGGTGCGGATTGATACATATTATGTGCAGTACAGTAGTGACTCATACATATATATGAGATACTTCTCAGTTTGTTGTTATAAGAAGACCATAGAACAACCTTGTCCTTTAAATCAGTGGTTCCCGACCTGTGGGTCTGCACCCCCACTAGGGGATGCCAGAGCTTCACAGAGAGGGTCGCGAGGCCTTCTACATTGTAAGGGGTGTAAGAAAACTGGTTCCCAACCTGTTTCCTGAAGGGACATTGTTTTAAGTTTCACTTTCCTTTAGTTTTTCTTCACAGAAACAACAAAATACAAACATACATACATAATATCACCTCGTTACAGTATTGCAACATACTGAATCGTAACTGTATCATGATACGTATCGGCAGTCAGGCGTATCACTTACAGTTTTTTAAGCAGAAATTGGGATTATTTAGCAGTTTTTCTTTAAACCTTCCTGAGTTTTATTTTGAAGTTGCCAGCTTTGCCAGTGTTTTAGATCTTATTCACTAATCTTTGAACAATATTATGTCCTGTGAATATGTGAACAGTGCATACATCAAAAGAAAGAACAGCGCCTCTATTTTTATACACAAAAACATTTTATTCTTACATCGTTCAGTCTTTTTATAACAGTGAAAACACAGATTGCCGAAATCTTAGATGAATCTGTTAATGGCGGATAGATTATTAATAATACACTGAACACAGGAAAAAATGTTTGATGCTAAAAATCTTCCATTTTCCATTTATTTTCAAAGGTCACATTGTTTTAAAATGAACTTGCATCAGTATTTCTTATTGACAATTCTTTTCTCTTTATTATTTACATAATGTTTTTCATTCTTTTTTTTTTTCATTTTCTATCACTGTGTAAACTGACGACCCCTGACTGACATATTTTATAGATATTTCATATCATATTCCTGATAAACTGAACAACGAACCCAAACTGCAGAAAGTTTGTGTAAAACCAGAGATTTGGATGAATTTTGATCAGATTATTTCCTGTCAATATTGATCAGAGATAAGTTTTCCTGATATTTTTATGAACATCTAAGCAAACTATTTCATTTAGATATCGGCCTACTGCGTAAATTAATAAGGTTTTCTTACACCACTTAAAATCAAGAAGGCCTTGTGACCCTCTGTGAAGCTTTGGAGACCCCTAGTGGGAGTCCCGGCCCTCAGGTTGGGAACCTCTGGATTAGGTTACTGACCATATTTTTAAACAGGTAATTAGTAACTGTATCAGATTACATTTTTAAAGCAAACCCTCCCAAACCTGGCCCTGACCTATGGCCACACGCTGTGCTGAGTTATGATGGTGAAACCACCTGTTTATTGTGAGTTATTCTCTTGTTTGAATTGGCTCGCACTCAGGAATTCATCTCCTTGTTGAGCACAATGAGGAGCAATGTGTCTACGCATGTGTCGGTAAGCAGAAGGTAGCACTCCAGACAATAGGAAAAGAGCCAGATTTAAGAGCATTGTCGCTCGGTGTGCGCCGAGCATCTCCATAAATCCTAATACACGGTCGTTCCCTGCGGAATGGGGGGGAGAAAAAAAAAAGAAAGGCAAAGAAAGGGAGGGAATGAATGCATTTTCTTCTTATCTATCTGTCTTTCACTCTCTTTCCCCCAGTGAGGGAGACAGAAGGGAATAAATGGCTCCCCTCTCCTCTCCTCTCTC